GTAAAAATTTTTTTCGTCGCACTTTGTGTTGCCCGAAAATCCTCCTCTCTTCGCGCGTCGCGATTCGAATCTTGACCCGCGATGTCTGTGTGATAATATATACGTGCGCGAGGTGTTTTCGCGAGTATAATTCCTGCCCACTCTTCGCCGTCCCTCCGCGCCAGCCTGGTATCCGGAGAAAAAGGGGTTGCAGACGGAGGGTGGAAGCGAAGGTGTCGGAAAGGTAAAACGGCTGGATAGAATTATCGTCGCGCGATACCCGAACGATATCGATCTCTCGAATGCGGATGATCGATTTTATTTTGACGTACGATTTCCGAAAACATGGAAATTTATTGGACATTCGTGTACCAAAGAAGATTTCCTGCGACTCGTGATTTTTGAAATTTCAAAATAATAAAGTGTGACTTTCGCGAGATCAGTTCTAACTAACATTTACTGAATAAAATCTCGTCTTTCAGTTATAACTAAAGTACGAAGCACATATATCGACCTTTTTTCGTTGAGTCTGATTCCATTCGTTCGTAGGAAGGCACTTTCGCAAGACGCCTTTGAAAACACGTTGCTAGAGGTTTCTCGGCAGATACATCGACGAACGCAAGCAATTTACGCCGGAGAAGCTAATTTGTTTTCGGCAACACTTATGCGGGTGCATTCTCCCTTTTACGCGAATAACGTCGAGACCTTTTGATCGACTGTTCACTCAACGTTGAGCTGGTAAACAGGAGGGCGAAGGCCTTCACGGAAGACTTCCACTCGTCGATGCATCGCTAGCAATTGCCACTATACTTTCGTGTCTGAAATGTATATATGTGCAGTTTCTACTTTTTCCAATTCGTTGATAGAATCGTTATGCACTCATCAATTTTTTTCGCGGTATATTCATACATCAATTTCTATATCAATCATCAAAATGTCAATCATTAATGCCATTTTTTAAAATTGTGGATATTGATTAATTCCTGTTACAATTGTAACGTTGTGATAGTAAACATTTAAATTTACATGGAAATTATGTAATATAAATTCTTAACTCTCTATGCGCTCTTTATATCTTATTTTTCAATGAGAAAAAGTTTCTTTTAAAGCCATTTAAAAAATATGTTAATGATTTTTATGCATTTTTATGTATTATTATTGCACATTATATCTTTCCATTAATTGACAATGATATTTGATACATACTGAGCTTCAACGTTGTGTAACCCAGATTACACCCGTGAGTTAAGGTAGTTACGCAGTAACTATTACGTATTCGCCCGATGCGCAGCTCAGATTTTAGCGAGGGAAGATTCCATTAACCATGGTTTGGAACCCTAAATCCGAGCTTCGGCTCTACACACAGCAACGCGGTTCCGTCTCAAATTCTTCCACGCGTGACTATTAATTCTCCAAAACTAATTATCCGAAGCGCGTCTTACACGAAAATTTGATTTCCATAAAATTTATATGAAATCTCCAAATAAACGAAATGCTTATCACATTTCTTACATGTGGACTGTAGAAAAAAAATTTAAGAGAAATGCAACGAAATTAATATATATGGAAATAATAAAGATACAGTGACTAAAATTAATGTGTCAAACTTATTTTTGAAGAAACTTGCATTATAAAAGATAATCGCTTCGATCTGTCCCTCGACGAAGATTGGCAGGAAAACATTACGCGCCGTTTTTGCAAATTCATGAAAAGCCTTTCTTTTCGGACAAGATTTTCAGACTTTTCATTATTTACGTGCCAGCAAATAATCAGATTTGTGACAACTTGTTGCTTACTGGAAAGCGCGCGCGGAAAGACGAAGTTCGAAGATAGCGAAGTGAAGATTCGCGCTAACAGACTGTCGAGAGATGCAGAGGAAAGAGAAAGGGAGAAAAAGAAAGAGAGAGAGAGAGAGAGAGAGAGAGAGGAGGAGGAGGAGGGAGCTGGAGAGGAAGAGAAATCAGCCCCCGTGGCCATTAAATTAATCAACCGCCCGACCAGAGAAAACTAGTGGCGGGCCCCAAGTTTGAAACTCTCCGTCATCCGCGATCGTTTGTACACCGCTGTCGTATTTCCCTCGGTCGCCGTCGCTTCTACTTTCCGGGGACGACGACGATGACGACGAAATAGGGTCACCGGGATTGAAAAACGACGACGCGGATCCCGCAGCACGACGGACCGAAGAGCACCGAGAGTAGAGGCTCGCAAGCGGGAACCATAACTCGCGGCCGTGTGAGTTAACTCCTGCCGGCTCCAGTAATGAAACATAATGAATTGTAAAGCAAAAAAGGGTTTTCAGTTACCCGCCGCTGCTCGCAAGGGCGGTTTGCGGGGACTCGGTGCGCTCCGCGGTTAAATAATGTTCCACGGCCCGCACACCCCGTCGCAAGAAGCTCTCTACGGCGAAACTACTCCCGGCTTTGCGTTCCCTCAAGGTACGCTCCACCGAGTCCGGACTCTCTCTCTCTCTCTCTCTCTCTCTCTCTCTCTCTCTCTCTCTCTCTCTCTCTCTCTCTCTCCTCTCTCTCTCTCTCTCTCTCTCTCTCTCTCTCAGCTCTCAGAGCGAACTATAATTACGGATTTTTACGCAACGCGTTACTGGCGCGAGCCGCGAATTGAGGACGGTCTCTAGTGAGACGCTCGCGGTACGTTTCCACGAGCAAAAATAATTGAAGAAGGACCTCGGCTCATCACTCCATTTTTGTGCCACACGTCGCAAAGAAAAATAGAGCGAAACCAGAGATCTTTTGCAGGAGACGAAAAAAGTTAAGAAAATTTATCTATAAATCTCATGAAGAGAAAATTAACGCATTAAAATATTCTTCTGTTATTTCATAATTTTTTCTGTATGAATTAAATAATTTCATAACAGATTGCGCTTTTCATATGCTTCTTTTTGCCAAAAGTTAGAAGATTGAATATAATTTCTGTTCTCAATCAACAAAAAGTTGAACGTACCAAGGGATAAAATTACATGCATTTTTGCATTTCATATCATATACATAAAACAGGTTTTTACTGGTAGGAACTATTTATACCACGGCAAGAAGATGGATAATGCAGGATGTATTGAATCGTGTCTCTTTCTCGGATTCGATTTCTCACAATCGTGCAGCGCATTGTGATCAATACTGAATCGGGCAGATATACTGAATAATACTGAACATCGAAAGTTCCGTAGTTACTACCTCGCCGTGCCGGGAAGGAGGGAAATACTCGACGGTGGATTTCAAGTTCGTGAAGAGTTTCGCGCGAGGGATATAAATATTTTCCGTGTGTTTTTCATTAACTGTTCGTTTACTTTTTAGTCTCTCGTCAGAAAGGCCAGCGGCGAGATACACAGAACGCTCATCTTAAAAACCTGAAATCTTGTGTTTACGAGGAGAAAACTTTTCCAAGTGTTAACGCCATAAATAAACAATATTTCCGCGAGTAACATTTCCGAGCGCACAATTCTCGATGCTTATACCACAGAGACGTATTTGTACAAATATCTCTCATAATCCAAAATATTCTATTAAATATTGAACGTGATGTTTATGTTAATTCCGAAATCTCACATTGGAATGATTCCAGTGACGAGATTTTTCTTGAAGCCGAGCGGTCAGCTAGAAAACCGGGTCGGGAACGTCATCGCCGGCTTGAAATCTCGACGACTCGCGACACGAGTGATTGGCGTCGACCAATCGGAAGTGATTCGGATGCGATTTGAATTTTGAACGCTCGCGGATCTACATACGTAAACACACGAGGAGCACGCCGCGCTCGCTCGCCCGTCAGAGGCGATTGCATATCCATGCAATTTCGCATAATCATCCGGGAAGAGGGAGAGACAACCGACCTTCGACTGTAGATTACGGAGTTTTTCAAAGCACCGGTGAGATTTATTCTACTCACGAGGAACATATGTATGCGGGAACACAGGCGGTGACGGTGGCGGTGGCGGTTACGTGCCCTCCCTTTTATGACGGACATTTTTCCCGACTGTTTCCGCGAGTAAGATGATAATTGAGGAACATTCGGTCTCGCTTTCTTTTTTCTTCCTCGAGTAATGGATTCACTTAGGAAAGAAATCGGCACGCGCTCCTTTATGCATCCGATGGTTTTGCCGAGCGTCGCCTTTTACGCGGCATTTTATTCACTCGCGCGTTAATACTGCGTTACCCTTTTGATTGCGTTTATGTAAAAGTACCCCCGGAATCAACCCCTTCCCCTCACGTTGAACTCTCGGTTGAATTATTCAGCAGTTACGCGGGGAAGACTTGTGACGCGTCTCCTCTCTTTCGTCGACATACCTGTGGATCAATCCTGTTTACCGCCAAAATCGGGTTATCACCGCAAAATTGCTTAAACAATATAATTTACGCACACACTTTTGGACTTTCATCCTGGACTATCATATATGTTTCACTCACCACATGTTTCAGTGCAACAATTGAGTTTTCGATATAACAAGTTTATTTTTAATTCTGATAACGAATCCTTTGGATAAAATCAGAATTGATTTTTTTACAGAATTTCCTGAAATATAAAATTAAAATAAAATAACTTAAATTTTAAATTAAAAATTAATTAATATCTATCTATAAGCTGATTTAGAACGTCTTTCGACATTGTCCGACGCCTTTCGACTATCCCTGCATATATCCGGAGTGTTATTAACACAGATATGAGACCTACAATTTTATGCTGGTTCCGAATATAGGGATTTTTCTCGGCAGAGTTACTAGGCGGTTTGCCAGACCTCCGTAGAGGAGCGTTGTCGCTTGTAAATATTGTCGGACCGGAATTGAGATTCAAACCCGGGGCCTCTGACTTACGAATCTCGCGCAGAACTACAACGCAGACTAAAAAGTAATTAAATTAAAATAAAATAATTAAATAATTGATCCGTAACAACTTTAAATATTTTATATTAATTATTTTTGTGTAAATCTGGGGAAATATTGTATGAATGAAAATAAATAAAAACCTCTATTTTATTCAAATTCTTTGTTGCGTTTGAAACGCAGCGATTACGTATGCGATAACGTATGATCATGCAAGATACATGTAACGGCTCGGCGCTTATAGTCCTGACGTTAAAACGAGGCATTTCCAAGCAACGGCAATATCAGATGATTGCGCGACCCCGGGACATGATGAATTGTTACCCCACTTTATTCTATTTCAGTCCATTTCCCGATAAGAGATATGCTTGATATTTTCTCCGGACGATATCGTGTGGTAGTAGCGGTAGAAATTACTACCCGGAGTAGCTGCACTTGTAGGTCGTTCTGCAACTTTATCTTTCCTTGACGTTTCCTTGTACGGAGCACTTTGGAGAAGTTTCACGTTTCTTTTAATATTTTGTTGGAAACACGCTCGGGAAAGCGCTCTCTGCTCGGAATAACGCGCTCTCGTGCTCGCTCGCACGTCGAATTTCTCATTGAGCCTCATGCGTTTCGGAGCGCTCTAAGTATGCAATGTACACGCGGACACGTGTCGCGATACCTCGGCGCGTATCAGCCAAGTTAATAGGCGCTTGACAGCGATTTTTATCTCTTTTGTTTTCCTCTTTTCTTTCTTCCAGATGCCCCGTGGCACGTGGCACCGGTGGTCGGTGCTCTTGCTGCTCCTGCTCGCCACGAGATTCCTGTCCGTGCACGGCCAATGTGGATCGTACACCCAGGATCGGCAAGAGAAGCAGGACAAGCAGGACAAGCTGGCCCTCTACAAGGTCACTCTGAGGACCTACTGGTCGAGGGCGCGATTTCCGCGACATTATCCGGAGTGGAAGCCTCCTGCGCAGTTCGGCAAGTTGATCGGTGAGTCATATTGGTTCATGTCAGATTTGACGTTTTACGTGAAAGGAAAACGTAACAATTTTGATAGGAGAATGCGTTGTTATCGTAACGCATTGTCCGGAGTAATTTTTGTGATTTTTGCGTGTATATCTGTTTCTCTCGGTTTCAAAACGTACACATATTTTATCACTGACAGGCATGTTTTGTTTAGCTTCACAAATTTGCATAGTACACACAGTGATATAAATGAAACGTGGAAAAATAAACGATTATTATTTTTAGAATTAATGCCGCATAATTAAAATCTCGACTGAGCGTAAATAAGTAACAGCCTAAAATAAATAATTTGTGTAATCGACGTATGAAAGGAATCAAGCAATTTTATATGTCAAAAGATGTTTTTACAGAACAATCATGTTCAATTTAAAAAAGGATATCTTGTAATGTCTCATTTGTGTAACGCCGCTTTGGGCTTCGGCTCGTATTTCGAATGAAAAATTGAAACGTAAAACGACATACGTCGAAAGTACTTTACTTTTTTACATACGTATCAAATGCAATTTTAATTGAATACGACGTCATGAAAATTAGATTAAATCATTCCCAGCGCGATCTAAATTCCATTGATGGAGAACGTAAAAAAAGAGAGATTCTTTCGATTATTTCAAATCTACACGAGATCCGCGAGTAACGCAATCATCCATAAGAGAGCAGTGTCATCTTAATGAGATCTCTCGGTGCATCCTCTCTTTCTTCCCATCGCATCTATTCCCCAGCGAACGGCGGTCTCTCGCGCGTCACCGCCGAAACTTTAATTCGATCAAATCCCCCTAGGTCTTGCGTGATTCCGATCACGGCGAATACTTATTTCTCTCGGCGGTTTGTGAGTCGTTGCGCGATTCGGGCAACGTCAGCCGGAGTCTTACCTCCGGGTTTATTCTCTTCCGACCTCCTTTCCCCGGTAGCGTAAAGACGACGAAGGATGAAACGATAATTGGAGAAGTTGAGAATTATCGCATGACGCCGCTGGCGTTTGCAGTCGCCTGTGCCACCGCGCCTGACGCGAATTTGAAATGTCGCCGCTCGAGGTGCCCACGAAGTGGCTACATGACGCGTATACGAGGTGTCCCGAGAGCCACTGTGTCATTTTTTTTATCTAAATTTCGTTCTTTGACTGATTCGAAATATATCTATCGTCTAAAATTTTTCACGCTAAGGCCTCAACACAAGCGGAAATCGAAGGGTACATTTCACCGTTACGCCGATCGTAAGTTCATCATTTGAGCTTACAATTAGTCAATTCCGATTGGACGACACCCTATAGACATACGAACAGGTGTCGTAAGTCTTCGTCGGTCCATAAATCCCTCGCATCCCCTCTCGCTACCAGTTAGTCTCTATAGTTTCTCGCTTTCGGTTGGTGTCTGTGGTCGCGACCCTTCGTTCTCGTCTCGCCTCGCCTCGCCTCGCCTCGCCTCGCTTCGTCTCCCCGACCCTGCCTTTGCTCGCCGCCCACCTCGACTCTGACACCAGCCATCTCTTTCTTCCGTCGTGAAGTCGAATAAATCCCGCCGTTAGACCTGATCCGGCCGTTTCGCCGAATGTACGAGCGTTCCGCGAGAAACCTCAAATTCGAATTAGAAAGCCGCGCGCGCGCCGCCGAAATTCAATTTCCAGGCTCCAGCGGAGTCGAGAAACCGCGGTCGGCGAGTACGATATGAGGAGAATCCGGAGAGTTGCGGTTCCCTGCCTCGGCCGCGTTTTGTTCTTCCGCCGAATCGTTTTCGTATGCCGACAATAGTTTCATGACTCGGAATTACTTCCTGAAATATCTTGTTCGAACATGATTTAAAACTAATGACGATTGTACTTCTCCACACAAGCGAACGGAATAATAATTAATACTTTTACATTTTTATATTTTATATTTTCATTCCCCTTCTTGGCTAAAATGTAAATAAATTCTATTCCATTTTATATTTTCATATTTGATCGATAAAAATCAAGTAATTACATTTTATAGATTTATCAGATTTGTGTAATTAAAAATGCGATATGTTTTCAATGCTTAGTTTCCTTGTTTAACAAATAGGTATTAATTTTTTAATATATTCATCTGTTTTAATTGTAATCGCGAAATACATCAGCGTTTATATTGGAAATAATAACATTGCGGCCCGACCTAAAATCAATTTCGCAAGGAAATTTTGCACGCAGGTAAGAAGAAGCAACGCAAGGAAGCAGAAAAAGATATATTTCTCTTAGCTCTGGGAAAAGGGATCGAATGCTGGCTAAACAAAGGGATCGGAGGAAGGGATGAGTTTTTTTTGCGTGATACGAAGGTGATGTGAAGTGGGCTCGAAACTGAACAGAGCGGAACAAAAGCGGCGACAAAACGTAATCGAAAATCCTTTACGCCGTTCCCGGGGAGAAATCGCGGGAGGAACGAGACTCGGCGAGGGGTAGTTCGGCTCGGAAGAGACAGGGAATCGAAGCAGGTTTCTCTCTGCATTCCGCAGGACCTCCACGAAAGATCCTCTCCGTGGATATATCCTGCGTGCACACGGACGAGCGAACACGTTCGATCGTTAACGGCCGACTAATGGAATGGAATTCGCATCCCTTCGTCCTCTCGCCGTATATACACCCCCATCGTTTCCGCCATTCCTTCAGCCGCGCGCCCGAATCGTAAAACTGTTGCCGTTGTTTTCTCTTCGTGGCTCCGGGTATGGTCGATTTAATTCGATTTTTTTCCTCCTTCCGCCGTTGTTCTTCTTCCCGGCCTCGCTATTTCCTTCCATCTCCTTCCCCGTCCATCTCTTGTTCCTGAACTCCGGATTTAAGTAGAAACGCACGCAATCACGCGCGATCATGTTTCTTTTTTAGGCATTATCGATTCTAGATACGTGATATATCGTATACTTTTTATACTTTATGGCGCATAGGTATAAAGATAAATCTCGTTTGAGCAAAAATGGATAGATTTTTTTAGTTTGATGTTACGCTTATATAAAATGACGATTTTATTGTCATAGTCACTATAGTCGATATTTTATAAAGATCTGCAAATTAATACGTTTGTGACTGTTGCAAAACTAATACGTTTGTACCGAATGATTAAATTTAATATCAAAAAGCAACGCTCAGTTCGCATAATGTCCTTGCGAAAAATAGCACATTTAATGAAGACTGGCCTTTAACTAAAACGGGAATCGAATGAAAACACATGAAACAATCATAAGTAAACCGGGTCGAAATAGATATGTATCTTGCTCAGTTACGAGCTCGCGCACTGTCTGTGCAACGTATCCACAAAGAACAAAGAGACGCGCTGTTACCGCGCGCGTATCTGCAAGGCAAACACGATAATAATAGCGTCGCTAATGCACGGCAGACGCTACGCTAATGGCGAGCAAATATCTTTTTTCAGCAGTAAAGCAAATTACATCAGTTAACAAGGAAAATCTTATAAACGTCTTTACGCGGCTTGCGGAAATATGAAATATTTTCTGAAAGCTATAAAACAATCTTGCGACATTTTTGGAACGTGTTCCGATTAAGTCGTGAATTTAATTTTAGAGTTTAAAAATATATTTAGAAATAAAAATATCAAAATCTCGTTGACGTTTAATTCTTTACCTGAAACCACCAACAAATCATATTTTACGTAATGTGTCACTAATTTCCTATAATATAATATTTTCCTAATGTAGATAGGGATAGATTTGGCTGTAAAAACGCATATTTGTTGCATTGACATCGTATACATTGATACGATAATCGTCCCGTGACAATGAATTATTTTTCAACAAAAAGATCGATATTCAGATTTTTATTTCGTACGAGCGGCGGGATTATTACGGCCATATGTTTTCCATAATATGTTTCCCCTCATGGCTTTTATTCAACGGCGATGATACACGTCGAAAGTTTGGGCTATTCGTGGGAGAGGAATTGTCCCGAAGCCATCGGCAAGCCGAAAAGGCACTTTGCAGCATGCGAAAGTTTGCCTATTTCCCATATGCTAATAGACTCCATAACAGCGACAGGAAAGAATGATTTTCTTCGTCAGTGACAGGGCTTTCGTAGGGCTGATAACGGAGCCGCAAGATAAACATCGTTTAAGATACTTTGTATATTATTCCGGACACACTTTGAGGTATTCACGCGTTACTCCATCCATCTTTAAGTCTCCCGGCAGAATCTCTTTGGACGTTTGAGCATCCTCCCTCCCGCGGCGTGAATCATCATCCAGTGCGCATAGGGCGGCCCAAAAATATCTTCGGTGAGCGTCGGCTTGCGTGGATAGATGCCTGAATACTAGGATAGATTCGCTAACGACTACTAACTTTGGTAAATAATCACCTTCCTTCACAATTATCCGAGAGTCGAAATGCGCGTAGCTTTATCTTCGAAAAAGAGCGCGTAATACCAAC